GAGTGGTGAGAGAGTGCAAAAAGGAGAGCAGATGATAGAGTGGGAGGGGCACCTGTCAAGAAATTTTAATGGAAAATAAGAAAAAATTTTGGATGTGAGTTTAACAAGTTAGAAAGCTAGGAAATTATGGATTTGTCAGTTTAAAAACAGAGTAGGGGAGTTAGTAGATGGGGAGATGGAGGTATTGGGTAGATGGCGGAGATATTTTGAGGAACTTTTAAATGTTAAGGAAGAAACAAGATGCAGTAATTCATGCACTGGTTCAGGGAGGTTATACCATCTTTTAGGAGTGAGCAGGAGACGAATGTAAGGGTGGGGGAGGTACTGTTGAGGCATTACGTAAAATGAACGGGTAAAGCAGCTGGAACTGATGGGATCATGACAGAAATGTTAAAAGCAGGGGGGAATATGTGTTGAGTGGTTTGTGTACTTTTGTTTAATAAATGTATGAAGAGGGGAAGGTACCAAGGGATTGGCGGAGGACTGTATGTCCTTTATATAAAGGGAAAGGGGAAAAAAGAGACTGTAAAAATTATAGAGGAATAAGCTTATTGAGTATACCAGGAAAAGTGTATGGAGGGTTTATAATTGAAAGAATTAGTGGTTAAGACAGAATGTAGGATGCGGGATGAGCAAGGAGGTTTCAGAGGGGTAGGGATGTGTAGATCAGTGTTTACATTGAAGCATATATGTGAACAGATTTAAGATAAAGGTGGGAAGTTTTTTTGCATTTATGGATTTGAAAAGGCATTTGTTGAGTCGGATAGGAGGGGAGCAATGTGGCTGATGTTTGCAAGTTATATGGGAATAGGTGGGTTAAGTTATTAAATGCTGTAAAGAGTTTTATGAGGGTAGTGAGGCTTCAGGTTTAGGGTGTGTAGAAGAGAGGGAGACTACTTCCCGGTAAAAGTAGGTCTTAGACAGGGATGTGTATGGTCCACCATGGTTTTTTTAATATAATTATAGATGGGGTTGTAATGGAAGTAAATGTAGGGTGTTCGGGAGATGGGTTGGGAATTAAATTTTGGGGATCTAATTCAAAATGGGGAATGACACAGTTACTTTTTGCTGGTGATACTGTGCTTGCTCTTATGCGGGATTCTTAAAGAAAATTGCAAAGGTTAGTGGATGAGTTTGGGAATGTGTGTAAAGGTAGAAAGTTGAAAGTGAATAGAAAAGGAGTAAGGTGATGAGGGTGTCAATGATTTAGTAAAGAAAAATTGGATAACAAATTGGGGAGGAGGAGGAGTATGGAAGAAGTGAATGTTTTCAGATACTGGGAGTTGACGTGCGGCGGGATGGAATTTATGAGGATGAGGTTATCATAGAATGGATGAGGGAAAAAAGGAGAGTGGTGCTTTTTGAGGATATGTTGGAGTCAAAAAACGTTATCTATGGAGGAAAGAAAGGGGGTATGATATGAAAGTATAGTAGTAACAACACTCTTTATGGGGTGTGAAGCTTGGGTGTAATGCAGTAGCGAGGGAGCGGTGGAGGCAGTGGAGATGTCCGTTTAACCTTTGTCTGTTTCAGGCCCCGCTCTGAAAACTGGAATTCTATGTCGCCAAAATATTAAAATATAATAAATATTAGTTTTTCTTTGAATAATGTTGAGATATTTTTCTGAGTGTTTAGTCCTAAAAAAATAAAAAATTTTTGCAATGGTACTTACCGAGATATTAGAGCTGTGTAGGTAATTTGCAGAATAATGGGCCGCGTATTGGCAACAGGCAGCGGGACTGCCGCTCACCCGGTAAACATGTAGGTTACCTGGTAAGGGTTGGTTTTGGGTGGGTTGGGCTAGTTGGCCAGGGGGGCTCTGTTCAGTGGTGGCCGAGGTGTCCATAGTAAGGTGCAAGGTTCTGTTGTCGATCACTCGATGGATACTTATACATAGATTGCTACTCTTATGTTGGTTCTTGTAGTGGGGGGTCTATGGGGGGTCTTTTACTTTCTTTTATTGGCTGCTTCAGACGCCGCACGAAGACGGGCTGCGACGGGCTCGGCGCCGCAGACCCCGCCGCCGGGATGCACGACGGCGCAAGTCAGGCGCGGGACCACCGCCGCGGGGATTTGGTGGCCCTCCTCCGCACGCCACCCACTTATCCTCCTCCTTTCCTGTCTCTCTCCTCCTCCTCCTCCTCCTCCTCCTTTCCTCCTCCTTTTCCTCCTTTCTCCTTCTCCTCCTCCTTCTTCTCCTCCTCCTTCTCCTCCTCCTCCTCCTTCCTCCTTCTCCTCGCCTCTTCTCTCCTTCTCCTCCTCCTCCTTCTCCTCCTCCTTCTCCTCCTCCTTCTCCTCCTCCTTCTCCTCCTCTTCTCCTCCTCCTCCTTCTCCTCTCCTTCTCCTCCTCCTCCTCCTCCCCTCCCTTTCTCCTCCTCTCCTCTTCTTCCTCCTCCTTTCCTCCTCTTCTCCTCCTCCTTCTCCTCTTTCCTCCTCCCTTTTTCCTTCTCCTTCTCCTCCTACTCCTCCTTCTCGCCTCCTTCTCCTCCTTCTCCTCTCCTTCTCCTCCTCTTCTCCTCCTCCTTTCCTCCTCCTTTCCTTCTCTCCTCCTTGCCTTCTTCCTCCTCTTCTCCTCCTCTTCTCCTCCTTCTCCTCCTCCTCCTCCTCCTTCTTCTTCCTTCCTCCTCGGCCTCCTACTCCTCCTCCTCCTTGTCTTGTGTGCAAGTGTGTGGCTTATAATTGTTTTGAGTCAGAAGTCGGCTGCTGTCAAAAGTGACATATTGTCTCTTTAGTCACTACCCTACGGCCTGTCGAACATTGGGGTCGGATGCTGCTTCCCCTCCTACATTCTATCTAATTATCTTTCTCCTCTTTCTATATCTTTCAATCTGTCTCTCTTTTTATCTGTCTGCCTATCTCTGTCTCACAGGAGGTTACCATAAATACAAGTATACATAGTGTAAATTACTAGGATAATCCAAGAAATCCAGGGACAAAGAGCTATACTCTTGGCTTGAAGGGGATGTGAGTAAACGTGTTGACACAGTCTTGTGGCTTCTCTGAGACAGAGAGCTAGCTGGACAGACAGGGAGCTTGACAGACAGGGACAAATAGACAGACAGAAAAGTTTGTGTACCAGCATAAACAAAGGAGGAGGGCATATCCACCGGTCATGTAATATTTACCTCCTTTCGCTCATCAAAGTCAGCTCTTATAAGATGTTATCTCCCCTTATCTTGTCACTGTCATGGGGGTGGACTTTTTTTTGTCTTGCTTCAGGGGAACTATATTATTACATTCTTCTTCATTCCTCCTCCTCCTCCTCCTCTTCTCCTCCTCCTCTTACTCCTCATCCTCCTCCTCCTCCTCCTCTTCCCCCCTCACTCCCCTCCTCCTCCTCCATTGCTTTTGGTCTCAAACTCCTCAAATCATGAAATTGATCTTCACTGACACTTCCATCTGTGTTAGAGCACACTTGGAAGAGAAGAGTCCAGATTTGATGGGGAATCACATATTTCTTACCCGCTAGACATGCTGGAAAAATGACAACTGAAATGGCTTCCACAATCGCACCACTGGCTCCGATTTTTTTTATCTGGTGCACACTGACCATGGAGACCCATTCTCTCACAGGTGGGCCTACCAGCGTTCTCTGCTTGATTTGAAGCTGCCGAATGTATGCGTATAAATAAATACGTCAGAAAAATTGGCTCGTTATAAGACGTATTTTATACGTCGGAAAAACAGTCAAAGGGTTAAGGGCAATGTGTGGTGTAAATATTTTTACAGAAAATTCGGGTGTGGAAATTAGGAGAAGGTGTGTGAGTTAATAAAAGTATTGTCAGAGCGGCATGAAGAGGGTGTGAGGTGGTTTTGTCTTTAGAGATAATGGATCAATGTAGGAAATGACATGGAAAGCAATATAAATTATAGGGGAAGGAAGCGGGTAGGGGTCGTCCTCGAATGGGTTGGAGTGAGAGGGTAAAGGAGGTTTTGTGGGCAAGGGGCTTGGTCTTTCCAGCAAGCGTCTGAGCGTGTTAGATAGGAGTGAATGGAGACGAATGGTACGTGGGGACCTGCGATTCTGTTGGAGTGGAGCAGGGTAATATTTAGTGAAGGGATTCAGGGAAACCGGTTATTTTTCATATAGTCGGACTTGAGTCCTGGAAATGGGAAGTACATGCATGCACTTTAAAGGAGGGGTATTTGGGATATTGGCAGTTTGGAGGGATATGTTGTGGTATCTTCATATGTGTAGCTTCTAGACTGTTGTATTCTGGGAGCACCTCTGCAAAAACAGTGATAATGTGCGAGTGTGGTGAAAGTGTTGAATGATGATGAAAGTATTTTCTTTTTGGGGATTTTCTTTCTTTTTATGGGTCACCCTGCCTCGGTGGCGGAGGACGGTCCGACTTGTTGAAAAAAAAAAAAAAAAAAAATATACATTATATATTTAGACATATATATATATCTTTCTTTCAAGCACCATCGGCCGAATCCCACCGAGGCGGGGGGGGTGGCCCAAAAGAAAATACGAATTTTCTCTTTTACATTTAGTAATATATACAGGAGAGGGTTACTAGCCCCTGGCTCCCCGGCATTTTTATTCGCCTCTTAAAAACTCGCATGGCTTACGGAGTTGGAGAATTCTGTTCCACTTCCCATGGAGATAAGAGGAAAATAAACAAGATAAGAAACTAGAAGAAAATAGAAGAAAACCAGAGGGGTGTGTATATATGTGCTGGTATCAGGTATGTGTAGGGTGACTAAGTGGTAAGTAGAAGTAGCAAGACATTACCTGAAATCTTGCATGTTCTAGACAGAAAAAAGGACACAGCAATCCTTACCATCCTGTAAACATTACATGATGTTTTGTTTTACACTCATTGCAGGACGGTAGTACCAAGTGAACTGAGCGTAAAAATTAGTATATGAGTTGAGTATACTGTTTCTATACAAGTGAAATGAGGACCTATCAGCTGTTCTCTACAAGCTGACAGGACCATGAACCTAACAAGCAAATTACTGCAACAAACCACTTGGTAAGAGAAGAAACTTACTCTCCGTATGGTATCTGGAGGGCGCTGGGTCTTGTCTCATAGAAAAAATGAATGAATTCATCCAGCCACACCTCTGCCACTCTTCGGGAGTTCCTGCAATTACAGAAATCAGTCACCAACATGTCATTACAGCAGCCACTTGCCAGCAGTGAAAACAAATTTAAGGATTCTACAACATAATGTACAATAAATCTGTCTGTAGTGACCTTGTAATATTAAGGCCATAACTAATCAATTTCACAGCTTTTATAAGTAAGTAAGTAAGTAAGTAAGTAAGTTTATTCAGGTATACACAAATACAGTTACATAGAATTATCATATATAGCAGCATATGTGTAGAGAACCTAGGATAACCCAAAAAAGTCAGACAGAGTGACTTATTTCCATTGGGGTCCTTATGTACAAAATAATTAAATTGTTATGAAGCTTTTATGAGCCACTGAATGAGTCATTATGTATATGATCAAGACCACATTAGACAATTTTCCCCTATTGAATAAACTAGCAACAAACAACTAGTGTTAGCAGGCTGTAGGACAGTTTCGATGCAGAAAGTTTCATCTTCAGGATAACAGATAGTTTGTGGGAAAATGTACCCTTTGGGAAGGTGTGAAAGTTATTGTCAACATTGGAATCTAGTGGCTGGTTTATGGATATTAAATTGAACACTGATGGGAAATGATGTGATACTAGGTGCAGTTATAGGTAATCGCAATAAGATAATTCTGAGCAGTGAATGATTGGTTTAGGAGCGTAGATGCTAAATAAGAGACAAAATGCTATTCTTGAAATCCAATTCTGCTATTTTTAGCATCCTTTTGATATTACTCAGCTCTGCAATACAATATGTAGTTTACTTAGAAAACTAATGCATGTCACTATATTACAACCAAGGTATACTATTGCTTTGCTCTATGCAGTTTAGTTTTTAGACAGCAGTTATAGTAACAGCAAACTGGTTAAGAAACTGAATGTGTGTGTGTGTGACTTACCTGAATTATTAAAGAGATATTAATTAATATTGAAGAATTAAGCTCACCTGATGCAATAAAAATTATTATTTTGGGAAGGTGTGCTTCAGGTACAGTAATAGTTGCTTAATAGGGACATGGCTGGCATTAATTGAGAATGACACTGTTTTAAAAGATTCACCTGAGGTCTTATATGGATATTAACTATCATGGGTTAAATTACTTAAGTACATACAGATATATACATATAGGTTTACATATTTCTATATCTTGTGCAAGAGGTATTAAATACCGACAATGTGAAAAGTTAAGAGCATTGCTAACATCTGGATTCTTTATTGTAGTCGTTTTGCAATCCAGTGGTTTATCAATACAGATTCTAGGTCATAATTAGAAGACAGTAGAACTTTATACAAAAGATGAGGTAATCTGTCCTCAGCTTGGAGTTAGTAGTTCACAGCATCGTGGTGGTGGAGAATCTCCACACGATGCTGTGAAACACTAAACTCAAAGGCTGTGAGGGTCAGATTACCTCTTCTTTTGCATATAGTTCTACTGTCTTCTCATTATGTCCTAGAATCTGTATTGATAAAAACCACTGGCTGGCAAACCGTCTAAATACAGTATCCAGATGTTGACATGTGACTTAACTTTCACAGTTTCTATATCTTGCAAAATCACACTGAATATTCATCCTTTCAATGACTGCAAAAATTTCAATCTGAAAACACCATGAAATATTATTATTCAACTCCTGCATTAGACAAACACACTTCACCTCTTTTCAAGAGGTCTTAACTTGTAAATATGCAAAGCATCCACACTTATTATTGTGACTTTACTACATACACTGAACATTATATCTCTAATGTAAACCCTCCTCTCCAACTCCTTCTTGATAACTATAACAGAAACACAACCATAATACGAGGGACACAGATCACTCTTCATTATCCCCATGTCCATCTCTCCTATGCAATAAATGCTAATGAACATAAAAAGACTCGAAGATCTGGTATACATTTGCCAGAACAAACTAAAAGAGACCCCTTGTTTTGCAAATCAGTTTAAGGCCCAGATTAAGAAAATAACCCCATTACCAAAATTACAGACAAAACATACCTATCCAATACCAGTTTCGCAAAAGCTACTCATATTTGTGCTGATAAATGCTCAACCATTACTATTTCGAAATTAGGATGTTGTTCTTTTCACTGTATTAAATAGTACTACTTATTTTAAATACAACTATAATAAGTACATCATATTGTAAATGTTTTAAATTGTTACATTGTAATACTGTAATCTTTATTATATATTTCAATTGTGTAAAAAGTCTCTACTAGGACTTATTCAGAACCATGTTCGATCACCTGATATAAATATTAAATATTCTGTACTCACTCAAACACATCTAATGACCATATAAAACTAGTATTATTCCTTATCTTATTCTTAAGTTATTCTTTAAGTTTGTATGAAATATCGCAGCATACAGAGGGGCTATTGGCATGTACACCCACTATTATTTCCCTCTGTTACAACCACGTAATTTGTCAAATTAAAAAAATCTAAATCTAAAATCTAAATTGATGTTGAAGTAAATTTACTGTAAATAAATTTAAACTGATGTAAAGATAGGTTGGTGGGACTGAATTATTTTTAACATTATACAAGGTCTCCCTCAACATTTCGCGTTTTGTTTTCAACTTTCGGCAGGCTTCACACGTTCGCGAATTTTCCCAACACCAAATTCCCAACTGCAAATTCCCAGCCGCCAATATTATTAGGTTTCTGCCCACCCGCGAGTCCCTACTACCCTCCCTCGGACCCCAATAAATGGCAGCCAGCCCTCCCACCACTCAGTTGTGGTGAGTGTTTTGTTTGTTCATTATTTGATATTATTAAACTACAGTATTAAATAATGTCAACCCATTCATGACTGAATATTGAATGGGGGGGGGCTATTCGGCATGTATTGGACGGTGCTTCAATATGTTTACTCTTGAACTGCAAAGAATCAAACATTATCTGCTACTGCTATAATTAATAATAATAATCATAATATTAATAATAATAATCCTAGGTAGTAGGTTGGTAGACCAGCAACCGCCTGGGAGGTACTACCGTCCTGCAAAGTGGAGTGTAAAACGTAAGCCTGTAAATGTTTTACACGATGGTAGGATTGCTGGTGTTTTTTCTGTCCCTAACATTGCAAGGTGTTCAGGTACGTCTTGCTACTTCTTGCTTACACTTAGGTCACACTACACATAATGTACAAAGATATGTTATACACACCCCTTGGGTTTTCTTCTATGTTCTTACTAGCTCTTGTTCTTGTTTATTTCCTTCTTATCTCCATGGGGAAGTGGAACAGGATTCTTCCTCCGTAAGCTATGCCGGTGTTGTAAGACGGGCGGACTCTAAAATGCCAGGAGGCAGGGGCTAGTAAACCACTTCTCCTGTATATATTTCTAATTATGAAAGGAGAAACTTTTGGGTTTTTCCTTTTGGGCCACCCCAACCTCGGTGGGGGATTACGGCTGGTGTGTTGAGAAGAAAGAAAGAATAATAATAATTAATAATTTGACAGAATTGAAGGAATTGTACAAAAACATACGTGGGTTGAAGCGTGGTGGAAGATGTGGTTGTCGCATCGTCAAGTCAGTTGTGGCTTTGTTTATGCTGGACGTGAGCATTGAGTCTCCACACTTTCAAACATTTCACAAGAATTCATTGTGTTTGGTGCTTGTAGATTGAGTGCGGACTGCCAATAATTAACATGGGGCCCAAAGAAAACTGCTAGTTGCCAGCCCTTGGGTAAAAGAAATTGAGAAAACACAATAGATTTGAAGACAGAAATTGTACCAAATTATGAGCAGGTATGCTGCAGTGGTTGGTTGAGGCAGCGGTGAGGCACTGGTGGAGGCAGTGGTTGAGGGCAGTGTTGGAAGCAGTGGTATTTAATAACTTACGTGTTATTAAACCATAAACATGCCCCCCCCCCCCCACCCCCCCCCCATTATGTATTTAGTACAACATTTTTACAACATTTTCATGTATTTTATGACTGTCACGGTTCAACAACTTAAGGAGCATTATTGATTTTATTTCCCTACAATATATTGGGGCACCAAACATTCGCGTTTTTCAACATTTTTTTTTTTTTTTTTTTCATATTTTTTTTTCCCCCCCTTTCCCCCCCCCAAGGCTCTTGATTCCCCCTAACCCTCGCGAATGTTGAGGGAAAACTGTTATTACATTAATTTTTTAGCAAGGTTAAGTTATTTCTAATAAGCAGTCTTTCTTCATCTTTTCCAACAAACCGGCCGTATCCCACCGAGGCAGGGCCGGCCCAAAAAGAAAAACGAAAGTTTCTCTAAAAATTAGTAATTTATACAAGAGAAGGGGGTACTAGCCCTTGCCCACAGCATTTTAGTCGCCTCTTACAACACGCTGGCGTACGGAGGAAGGAATTCTGTTCCACTGTCCCCATGGAAATTAAGTAGGGAAATAACAAGAACACAGAATGAAAGAAAATAGCAGAAAACCAGAGGGGTGTGTATATACTATATGCTTGTACATGTATGAGTAGTGTGACCAAAGTTTAATTGAACGTAGCAAGAATTACCTTGAAAATCTTGCATGTTTATGAGACAGGAAAAAAAGGACACCAGCAATCCTACCCATCATGTAAAACAACACAGGCTTTCGTCTTACACTCTCTTGGCAGGACGGCTAGTACCTCCCTGGGCGGTTGGTTTACCAAACCTACTCCCTAGTAAGTAAGGATAATGGAAAATAAAAAATTAGACTGAACTATGTGAATTCTCAAAAAATATATTTATCAGTGCACAAAAACATTTTTTTTTAATGTAGCATTTTAGGGCAGTTGAGCTTATTTCATTGAACTTACTTGAGGTAAAAGTGTAGGCTTGCCATCAGGGAATGGTTATAGGATGTTTCTTACGGAAGACGTGGCCAACAGGTGCGGGAGCCACCTCCACACTGCTCCCACTGCCATGCTTTAAATGACATCTCTGTCGCACTAGACACATTTGATTAAAAGTATGTTCCCTCCAAAAGGGAATTGCCCCAATATAAAGTTATGGCTCTGATCCAAGGGAAATTGTAGCTACCCTCTCTCCCTGGAATCATTTTTTTACCTCCCATGTTGCAAGAG